ACTAGGACATCTGCCGTGACAATTCCACGACACTCGCTATAAAGAAATATCTAGGTTTTGCGTCAAATATGGTGGCTCGATTCAACCTGCACGGATCAAGGCGACGCCTGTTACTGTCCGGTTAAACCCTGCCTCGTTGACTAGGACAGTCGTTGCTCTCTTAAAAATCATCATCTTACCCGAAAATCCATCCTATTAGAGCATATGTATTCCCTTGATTATGTTTCTTAGAGCATCTACAACTAACAATGTGGACAACCTGTACAAGAAAGAGAAGGACAAAAAGCCTAAGCTTATGTCCGGACTGTCCGGCACCCATCAAAGCCACATCCACAACCACATTTCTTTCTTCCCACTCTGTCCATCTCTCTCTCCTTTCGGATGAGGGGTGCACATCGCCACTGCACGAGGGACCGAGTCTTGATTGCCATGCTGCCACGACGTGTCGCGCCGACTCGCCACAAGCGCACACCAGCAAGCCTGCGACACCATTGCCTCCCCTCTCCCTCGTCTTCTCCACACCTCGCATGCCCTGCGCGTGCCAGGACGTTGCCACTCGCGCATGGTCGGACCCATCGCCTTCACAGCCCTGCAGTCAACGACTTGTGTGTAGTCATCGGTAGTAGAGGAGTAGAAGGGACTACACGACTTGTCGCATTGTGTTTTCTTTATAATGTAAAACTAGTTCCCTGTGTCTATGTTGTATACCACTAATGCGCATAACAAACTTCAAATTTTTATTGCATAGAAGTGAAGTATAGTACCAGTCCTCAACCTACCTTGCATGTGCTGAGTATTCCCTTTTCTACTTTAGGTAAATTCATCTATCTATGAACACAAGCCATCACACCTGACATCTCAATCTATGATGAGACTGTTTCTAAACATCTACACAAGAATACAAGGCTACCACAATAAAATTGAGTAGCGTGCACCTGTAGACTTTGCACTTTCTTTTACTAATACGCTACGGCACACCAATAACATTTGCTACTCTATATTTTGGCATACACACGGACCTTGGAGATGTGATCCCAACCATCGGAGACCCGGGAGGGGGGGTGCAGAATCTATGCCAGCGCCACCTTAGTTATTTCCTTGTTGCTTGGACTCTTTGAAAGCAAATTATTTTTCCCCATATAATGGAATGTCAGAGCAATAGTAGAAAAACTCCAAACAACAATGACTTTGTGCCATTGAACATCTTAATTACTTCTGGACCCCGAATTGGAATCACAAATACAAAAAGCGTCAAGACGAGAAAAGTGTTACACAATCTTTAATATCTCAAAATTCTCACAGTTAGCAGCGATTCAAATGTAAGTACATGATTAGCATACAAAGTGCTCTCGAGTCATAGGGTGCCACTTGTTAAACTTCAAAGCATTAACTCGGTTCCATGAGAGTGCATTTCTTCAATTTTTAGTCCTAGATAAAATGGCAATGGGTAAGATACAAGTGATATGGATATCCAAATGTACATGCAAGTATTTATCAAGTCAATATTTGATGAATGTCTAATGGAAATTGTAGATGAAACACTATAGAAACTAACATAGTATACCTCATCGTTATCGTCGTCATCGTCTTCCTTCTTTAGTCGAGTTGTTCCACCTTCTCTGCTAATAGGTATCTTCATGTGTCCAAAGGGAGTGTTCACGTCAATATGCCCCTTTATGGTGTAACCAGTGCCCTTTCCCCTTATCATATCCCACATAGCAGACCCAAAATCCTTAGGCCTGAAGCTGATCGGCAAGGTCATGGTCGTTACTTCCTGCTTTTTAATGTTTGTAGATTCTTTCGTCTCAGCAGAAGCAATGCTCACATTGGAGAGCCAGATCTCATAATCCAGGGCATTAAGTCCCAGGTCAAAGTCATTCTTGTTGTCGAGATTCAGATGTAGAGTCGCGGTCGCCTCCTCGAAAGAAAACTTCTCAAACTTGATCTTGCTAATATCAACGTCTGGCTTGTAAGGCACAGGGATCTCACCGGCTTTCTCGAGAGGTAAGGAGATCCTGCCAATGACTGGGACATCAACATGGAGAATAACTTTGACCAAGTAAGGGATGATGCTCCCGGGCTTTATGTCACCATATGTGCTCTTGATGTCATCATAGATGAGCAACACGGGGATTTTGACAGTCTCTGAGCCATGTGCATTGATGGTTCCAGCATCCGGGATTGTTCCGGACATGAGCTTCCTCCCTTCGCTTTCAATAAGGTATTCGATGTCGACAAGAGGGATGGGTACAGGGTTTGGGTTTGTAATCATAACATCAGCTATGAGCTCTACCTTCTCAAGACTAATTTGAGGTATGTGGATTCCAGTAACGTCAGCGGTAGGCTTTCCAAAGCTGACTGCGTCTTCAATCTTCTCTCCAATGTCTTGGATGAAATCCTTAACTTTGTCCAAGAATCCTCCCTCTCCTTCATCCTGGTCTTTGTCTGCTTTCTTGGGGTTGTCAGAGGATGACATGCTGTGATGCAAACAATAGTTTACTTATCAGTTTCTAATAGAAGTAAAATTTAGAGAACATACATTAAGGATAACTACATGATATTACATTGAGAGAAAAAACGACACTGACAAAATAGCTTTAGAATCAACGGAAAAAAACTAAACAAGAAATGACCTAGAGCTTGGCAATACACAAAAGTAGCATATTTAGAACAAAAAAGACTAATCCAATACTACATTCCTACCCCGTTTTGCCTTTAAGAGGGGCACTTGTAACAAACTAACAATGTCTAGATAACAGGAAATAGGTGATTCCATTAGGTATTGACGACATCATGGCTCGGTAGTTTCTTATCACTAGCAACCAACATATTTTACTAATTTGGAAGAAATAAATACAGATGATATGGCAACGACTTGTCATCCCTTAGCTAAAGAACGGGCGTGCTAGGGTTAAGAGGCACAATTGAGAAAACAAATGAGAATTTGTGTCAATAATATGTGTATAGATAACACTCAATGCTCAACATTAAGGTGGATCATGATGATGTAGCTTTTTAAACTAGCCTCTGTCTATTTTATTTTGTTTGGCCAACCAGTTTTTTTCTATGTTTATGGTTATTTTTTAGAGTAGATCATGAAATAAGTTCAACATAATACATTTCAATAAATAGACACATCCAAAATAGTCAACCATCCTTGGTTTAGAACGTCGGAAGGAACTTTTGTATTTTCCTTTTGTTATTGACATTTTGTAAAGCTCTTTTTAGTTGACCTACTAACCTATTAACATTAGCAGTAAGAGCTATGCCATAAGATAATCAACTCATTCAAATTATATGGCAAATATTATGGTGATGAATTTCAATACTTGGTTCCATGCATGTAAAATTGAGTATCACATATAATTTTGCACATACAATATCGGAATTAAATATAAAGCTCAATATGTCTCATTTGGCGTGCTAGTTCAATAGGGAATGATTCGTTATGGAGTGGACAATTTCTTGATTGTCCTGCATAGGTTTTGTGCCTAAGCGCCACCTAGGCAACGCTTTGTCAACAGAGCTTGGGGTAACACATATATATGAATTTTTATATAAATTACATAGTTTATGAAGTTTATGTAAAATTCATCTTCATGGATCAGCAGAATCCCTAATTCTATGCCAGGCCGGTCCTCTTGATGACCAGGCCAATCCCTGACTTACATGAACGACGTTTGGTCGCCCCTCCCCCTTGTTCCCGACAAAAATGAAGCAACCAATCCGTATGCATTCACATTTGACATCGAGAGAATGCACGGTCGAGATTAACAAACGTATGTGACAACCATCAGAACGAAGGGCAACAAAGGATGGAAAAAGAAAGAAAACCACATTACAATCGCTTAACATCGGGACGATCAAGGCGGGTAGTGAAACTTCTGTTACCTGAGAAAGAAATGCAGGCGGAAAGGAGCAACGCGTCAATAGAGAAGAGGAGGCGAGGCGAAAGGTCGGGAGGCGAATGGATGGATCACGCGGCCAAAGGAAAGGAGAGGAGAGTAGCTCTTGAGGAAGAGGAAGAGGAGGAAACGGTGGGGGAAGAGAGCACCTGAGCAGTTTGCGGAGGAAGGCATGCACAGTAAACCCGGCCGGGCTGGAAAATTTCCACGGTTTATTAAGCCACGGCGTACGCACACAGCTCAAAAAAGAAAAAAAAAAAAAGAACCACGGCGTAACACGTAAGCTAATCCAACCCGGGGAAGCAACCGAACCGAGTCCTTCTCGTCTTCCCTTTTCCCCTTTGCTCTGTCTCTTCGCCCCGCCCCCCATCCCACGACGGCGCCCGGCTTCTTCGCCCTCCGATTCTTCGTCTTCGGCGTGTTTGGGCTCTCCTCCGCTCCCGCATCGCAGGTGCTTCCTCCATCCACGACACCTTCCGCGCGCGTGCGTTCCCTCCCTCTCTGTGGCCGCCGTGCCTGTCAGGGGTTCTTTCTAGGGTTCGTCGAGTCGCGCTACCGACGTTATCGCTAAATTACGTTAGCCTAAATAAATAAATTAGCTGGTATGAATCGAGTTCCTTTTGCTTCCCCTTGTTTGTGCTCATGCCTGTTTTGCCTTAGTTGGCGACGGCCGTACAAACCTTTGTCCTTTCCATATGATCCTCTGTTTCCGGCGTTAGTTGGGTACATGCGTCATATTGAAGTTTCCGGCGCCGATGGTTGTTGGAGGCCGTTGTTTTGTCTCAAGAGTTATGCTTTGGCCAATTGTTGCCAATCTTGTTGTTCAACCCTACTAGTTATGGAAAATTGGGTGGCTCCAGTACATCCTTATCTTTTGTAACTAATGGAAAATTAGGTGATATTAATTGAGTCTTTGGCTCATGCCTTGCGTGGAATGGAATTTAAAGCTGGCTTTGCCCAGAAAAGATTTTAGATGAGCGCAGCCATGCAACCTTTGCCCATTTCTAGAACCTGTTATTGTCATTGTCTATGCTGATAACTGTAATGCTGTTTTTCTTCTTTCAGGAAATTATTTATTATATCTAGTCACTGACCATGAAAACCTCCAGCGAGGTTCCCTTTTATCACTCATTGCCCGTACCAGGAGCCGAAGACAGTCTCAAGGATCAGATCCACTCCAAGGTTATGGGCACGATAGGCAATGTCATGAACTCCATTGATCGAAAGGCACTGCCTCAGCAACTGGAAGGGGCATGGGAAACAGCTGGAAATGTCGTTAACTCCCTTGAGTCAAAACTGTCCGGGCAGAAGTCGTTTGATTTTGACGGCGGAAATGATTTTCTTGATGGATATGAATGCCCTGATGATTATTGGGACTATGAACCGCACAAGGCACAAAAGCCAGTTAACATTAGAAATCTGCTGGGTGGCATAGTTGCTATCATTGGCCGCAGTTGCAAAAATGATGAAATTCAACAATCAAAGGAGGCTAAGACCAGTGTCTCATTCTTGGGGTCAAGTATTGATGGAGATACATCCTTGCATTTGTCAGTCTACGCACCAAGTGCTCCTCCTTTGCTGGATGAAGAAGCCTTGAGTTACAATATTTATAGGGTTGTTTTAGAGGCAGAACCACCAGAATGGCTGCCCGATAGCTATGCTGACTCATGCATGCAGTGTTCTGCTTCTTTCACTGCTATTACCCGTGGAAGGCATCATTGTCGATTCTGTGGAGGGATATTTTGCAAGGCATGTTCGAAAGGCAGATGTCTTTTGCCAGCCAAGTTTCGTGAGCGAAACCCACAAAGGGTCTGCGATGCATGCTATGATAGGCTTGATCCATTGCAGAACTTACTGATAAATTCTGTCAGCAATGCGACACAAACTGCAAAGCATGATGTTATGGATTGGACTTCTGCGAGAGGGTGGTTGAATTTGCCTATTGGATTAACATTGGAACACGAGATATACAAGGCAGCAGTATCCATTAGGAGCTACAGTCAGGTGTCCAAATTATGTTTCCATTTTTCTGCCATATTTACATGTTTAATGGCAATACCTACTTAATAAAAAATAAATACTGCATTGCAGGTTTCAAGGATAAACCCAGGAAAATCTATTCCGCATGCAGTCCTTAGTGGAGCAAGTGGACTTGCTATCTTGACAGTTGTAAAAGCTGGTGCATTTCTTACATACAAACTTGGAACTGGATTAGTAGTTGCTCGTAGATCAGATGGTTCATGGTCTCCACCCTCTGCTATAGCTTCAGCTGGATTAGGATGGGGAGCACAGGTTAGTAACTTGGTTGCAGAATTCTTCTCTGTATCTTTCATGTGGTTAACATCTAATCTATGAATTGATTAGATATAACATCTTTTATTGTTAGACTGGTTCCCTTTGTTGTGGGGATAATTGCAGCCATAACCTACTACTTGCATGGCATAGGGCGAATGGTGTATGATAAAAATGATTTTTTAACACTGCATTTCTCCTATCTAAAATTTCCTAGATGAAAACATGAAACACACACTTGTTTCATGTCTTAGGATGGAATGGTTTATTTGTTTCTATCAGTGTTCTTTTTAAGTGAAACCCTGAAACTGTGTTTGCATTTAGGTAGATTTCCTCTTGTTTTTGCCTCATTTTAGATAAAACATCAGGTTGAAGTTGCTATATTTGTGTAGAACATGGTCTTGGGCTGAGCAAAAAACATGTTGGACAGTGACTGTTGCCTAAAATTGATAATTTATGATTTCGGACATGGTTCATGTACTTCCCTATTAATTTCAATATTATGTGTTCAGATCTCTTACATGTTACATGTTTTATCTTAACATACAGCTTGGCGGTGAGTTGATGGATTTCATCATAGTGCTTCATGGTCCCGAGGCTGTGAAGACCTTCAGCAGCCGAATGCATTTTTCACTCGGTGCAGGTTTAAGTGCTGCAGCAGGACCTGTTGGTAGAGTATTAGAAGCTGATGTGAGAGCTGGTAATAAAGGCTCTGGAGTTTGCTATACGTATAGTCACAGCAAAGGTAATGTTCTTGTTCAGTTCAAAATTTTAGTCTCCTTTTTATCATGTGAAGTCGAGCTCTGCTTGTATTGTGTTTTTATTTTTGAGAAAACACAAAAGCCTTGCCTTTTGGTGCATTGATAGAAAGGGTTTGTACAAGCCTAAGAAGGCCAACACGACACCCCTAGTTGCTTTGCTAGGCACTGCGGCCGCCAGGGGCTACTTAAGTTTTATATTCTCGAAATTAGGAAAGCTTCTTCTACTTGAATGCTCAGCACCAGATCTGTTATATTTCGGTTTATTGGGTACAAATTTACTGCACTGCAAAAGTTTTGAATGTTTTTTGTGTAGCGGAGGTTTAATTATATTCCGTGGTCTGCTTCTTAATTTTATATTCTTGAAATGCACAGAGCCAAATAAGGGTACCCTGACATGAGTTAAGTAAGAAATGGTATTCTTGTTCCTAACTTGTACAGAGACAGATAGGGTACTCTGACACGAGATGAGTAAGAAATGGTGTTCTTGGTGGATAACTTATATGTAATACCCGCAGTCTGAAAAAAATCAGAGTCCAGCAATGAACTTAGTATGCAAAGTCATCCTGATACCAAGAGTAAACAAGCTTTGGGTGAAAGATATTTTAGAACTATGTACAAGTGTAAATCTTCGTAATAGTTCATCTTGCTCATGCATGTACCTGTCCTGCTAAGCCTACAACTAATTTGTGATGGTTTTCGATGACTTTACAGGCGCATTTATCGGGGTTTCACTAGAAGGGAACATTGTTACAACCAGGATGGATGCCAATCTGCGGTTCTACGGCGACCCGTATCTGACGACCAGTGATATACTTATGGGGAATCTGGAGCAGCCAAATGCTGCTAAATTTCTGTACCAAGCGTTGGATGACCTATACTCAGGTCTGGATTGTTAGCACGACAAAAAAATAAAAAATAAATCACAGTCTGTACATATTTGATTTTATTCCAACTGTTGCTAGTTGTGCTGATTCTCAAAATGCTTCTGTCATTTTGGCGAGCAGAGTTTGCTCCATGGGTATGATTCAAATGCCATATAAACAGCTACAAAACCTGTTGCCTAGGATGGAAGTCTGTAAAGTTAATGCATTCCTATGATTCAATCAGTAAATTGAAATACACAATAAATAAATAGTACTCCCTCTGTCCCAAAATATAAGAACGTTTTTTGACACTAGTATAATGTTAAAAACGTTCTTATGTTATGAGACGGAGGGAGTATGTATTTTAATATACACTGCCAAATGAGTGACCACTATCCAGTTAATGGAACAGGCATCCATTGCCACTAAGGCACTCTTTTACTGCTGAATCCAGCATCTGACGGATTTGGTTGAGTCATGAGATGGTCTTCGTGTATGGTAACGAGCTCCGATCACACAAATTTGGGACATTTTTTTCGTGGGAAAAAAAAAGTTTGCACTACACGCAACATATCTGAGTTAGATTATGTATCCGCAGCTGCAACTACTACTAATACAATCTTATTCAAAGAATCAAAATTTTATCATAGCACACATTCATAGAAACTTGCATTCTTGAACTTGACATAACTTAAACAGAACCGAAATCAAGCTTCCTCTGTACATCACACATAGTACATACCAGCACCTGTATTGGAATGTAGCGCATGATCTATGTTGACAGTTGACATGTACTATATCATTATCCTTTCAGAACTGAAGTTTTTTTATAACTATGAAAAGCGCCTTGAAGACCGCAGTTAGGCGCGATTTTCACCGGAGCATCACCATGAATACGTATGCCGCTGCCGGTACTCTGGCAGAGATCCTCTATCCCCTCACCGGTCCCTCCACGCGTCTCAAGCCGGCCAAGACCACGTCGCGGCGGATCTGGACTGGATGCCAGATCCGTGGCCAAGACCACGCCGCGGCGGATCTGGACTGGATGCCAGATCCGTGGCCGTCGCGACCCATCTCCAGGCAGAGCTGTCCACCATGTCATGTTCCGACACCACCCATGCATGCAGGGAAGCCCATCGCCGGCCATGGACCATTGGCCGCCGCCGCATAGGTTAGGCGCGCCGCCCTGCCTGCTGCCCAAGGGCACACCACGAGAGGCGCCCCTGCCACCTCAAGGGGATCCCGCTGCAGATCCGCCCGCCCTAGCGCTTTGGGCACCAGACCCGCCGGCACCGTGGACCTCACCGGCGACAGCGGTGGTAGGAGAATGGCCGAGAGAAGGCTGGCATCGTTGGTTTTTTGGGCCTTGGCTGTCGCCCAGGGAAGACGTCAACATTGTACAAATACATGTTGAATATCTTTGAAATACACAACGAGCAGTATTATAAATACGTGTTAATTATTCTTTACATAAACAATGAACATTTTCAAATATAAGTTGAAGACACGTTGATCATTTTTTATAATACAAGAAGTTTTTTTAAAAAAAAATTACATGAACATTTCTTTTACATGTTTAGGAACATTATTTATTTTCTTAAACAACCAAGAGTTTCACTTTTTTAAAACTAAAAAATGAAAATACTAATGAAATATAAAGCAGAAAATAAAAAACCAAAAGGGGCCAAACCGGCGAATCCTGAAGCCTAACTAACTACTTTGATTTATTTTTTTGAGCACACTAACTACTTTGTTCTCTAACTAAAATAACGCGCGATGAACGCTACTGGCCGGACCCGTGCTAGCATGTCGTGGCTGAGAGCCCTTCCTCTCTGGTTGACAAGAGACATAGCACAATTTGCAAACCTAAACACCTTGGGCATGATCTTCTGTTGCATGGTTTGGGTGGACTGATGTCGCTAGACCCTGGGTGGGCACGGTGATCCACCTTGATCAAGCTTGGCAATGGTTGCAAGGTGAGTTGCTAGTCCGATCGCTGGTTAGAAGGTCAATCACTTTGCTTCATTATTTCGGACCTCTTCCATCGAAGTACAAATAAGAAGAGTTCCGTTGCAGATGCCCTCACGAACCACTAGTGAATGAAAGATTTTCACCATATGGCTAATGGAGTCAGTTACGACAGTTGTTCTACATGTGATGCCAGCTGTAGACTATCACTCTTTTGCCCAATGAAGAAGACTCCATTACTTGGAACTCGACCAGTTCCAAAATATCTCTACCATGATATTATGAGATAAGTTGTATTGTACAGATCTCTACCATGATATTTAATGGCATTAAAATATCACACACAAGTATATATATGCGCACACAGTATAATTTATGCACTTGTCAATAATAATTCAAAAATATTTTTTTTACACATATTTAAATTCAGTTGAAGCCAAAAATTCCAATGATATATTATGAATGTATAAAAACGAACAATGTAAGTAAAATTTAGCAACATTGTCATGTGGTTAACTAATAACTATGTTTACCAAGTAACAAGAAATATACTCATTAAAGTGTAGTATTGTTTTCCGCAAAAAAATGTAGTATGGTTTATATTTTAAAAAGTATAAAAGTTTAGTATAAAAATAATTGTTTAAATTTGCTTCAAACCCAAAATGTGCTTGGATCGGACATAGTCTCAGGAAACTTGTGAGTAAGCAGACTATAAGCCTCCATCCTTGAATAATATTTAAATGTCAAGAACATAGAACAGAATAAAATGTGTTTGGACCATACATATGTCATAACATTTTCTAAATATTATACCATGTATAAATTTCGATCATATAACCTTTATTGTCCCTAGAAAAAATAAGTCCCCGCGTCATCCGCTCGGGCGACACGGGCGGCGGAATCCTATTCAACACAGGGGCTTCTCTCCGTCGATCTCTCCATCGCCGCTACCGGTGGCCGGCTGTTGGCCCAGACTGTGCACGCCGAGTACTTTCCGACGACACACAAATGACCGACGACGAACGATGATGAAGAACTTGCCGATAGTCTTGGTTCCTGCCCCAAGTGGCTGAAGCAAAATACACATACGTATCACGGCTGATCGAAAACGATCTACTAGTAGCCACACACGCACACAACGGGCAACACGGCCGAAAACACAAACGCAGCACGCAAGACGCTGGCGTATTGCCAAAGGCTCGTATCGAGCCTTGTGTATGCTTTATTACTTCAACTCAAGGTACAAGTTACAGGACTGTTTGCCCGCATATAAATACTAGTACCAGGCTAGCTAGCTACGAGAGGAAAACTACTCGGAAGCTAATTCCAATACTACTCGGAGACAACCTCTAGCACTACATGGATACATGTATGCACATCATCCTGGACACGTATCATCATGGGAGGCTTTTGTCGTGTTTAATTCCAACAATCACCCCCCTAAACACAACGTCGTCATGTTACTGCATCGACGCCAATTCTTCGCATCTTCAGGATCTTCTCTCAATCCAAAGCCTTGGTTAGGATATCCGCCAACTGATCATCGGTGCAAACGTAGTTGACCTGCATCTTACCTTCTTCCACACAGTCCTTTATGTAGTGATACATCGTATCAATGTGCTTGCTCTTATCACGCCGCACTGGTTCTTCGCGTAGAAAAGTTGTAGACTTTCCATCAACATTGAGCACCACTTGTTCCGGATCTCGATTCTTGAGATCACTGTGTAGCCTCCCTAGCCACACCTTGACATACCGCAGTGGCAGATGCAATATACTCTATTGCATCAACTGCGGGTGTTTTATTCTTCTTGCCCAACTTAAGACGAGGTTTCATTGGAGTGTCATTTGGATTGCAATCTATCATGCCATAGCTTTCAAGTACCTTTCTTGTGTATGCCTCCAGGCATAGTGTGACCCCCTCCGTCTTTTGATGTACCTCTATCCCTGGGT